TTTGAACAGAGTCTGCCCAAAGGACTGCTTTCCGCTGTCCAAGATCGACCGCCTAGTGGATGTGACCTCAAGGCATGAGTTGTTGAGCTTTCTGGATGCTTACTTGGGTTACAACCAGATCAGGATGGACCCTGCCGATGAGGAAAAGACAGCCTTCATAACCGAGCTTGGATTGTACTGTTATAAGGTTATGCCCTTCGGACTAAAAAATACCGGGGCAACCTTTCAAAGACTTGTAAATAGGATTTTTGAGCCATTAATCGGCAACAAAGTTGAATGCTATGTAGATGATATGGTCATTAAGACCCAACTTTCAAAATTTCTATTGAATGATTTGCAAAATGTTTTTGAAATTTTACGAAAATACAACATGAAGTTAAATCCCAACAAATGTGTCTTCAGTGTCACCTCGGGTAAATTCTTGGGCTACATAGTCAATCGACGTGGCACCAAAGCCAACCCGGAAAAGATAAAGGCCATCTTAGATATGAGGCCACCTCGCAAATTAAAAGAGGTTCAGAGGCTCAACAGCCGCATAGCCGCACTGAGTCGTTTCATGTCTAAATCGACAAATCGCTACCTGCCTTTCTTTAAGACCATAAAGAAAAGTAAAGACTTCGAGTGGACTGCGGAGTGTCAGCTTGCCTTCGATGAGCTGAAAAAATACCTAGCTAGTATCCTGGTTCTAACCCGACCTATAGAGGAGATATTTTAAGGTTGTACCTCTTCGCGAGCGACGAGGTGGTCAGCTCGGTACTGATAAAAGAGGTAGATCAGGTCCAAAGACCCATCTACTATATTAGTAAGGTTTTGCAGGATGCTGAAACAAGGTATCCAGAGATCGAGAAGCTAGTGCACGCTCTAGTCATAGAAGCTCGGAAGCTTCATCCCTACTTCCAAGTCCACACTGTCGTCGTCCTCACCAACAAGCCTCTGAGGCAGATCCTGCTCAAGCCCGTGGTGTCTGGCAGACTGACGAAATGGGTCATCGAACTCAGTGAGTACATCCGGTATGAACCTCGGACGGTGATTAAGGCCCAAGCCTTAGCTGATTTCGTGGCAGAATGCACGTTCAGCACCGCAACCCTGAACTGGCCAAACTCGAGCACACGAAGGAAGCTTCAACCAGCACGGCACCAGTCCCGGTTAGAGAAAGTCCGACCTGGGATGAAGAGCCTTGGATCCTCCATGTCGATGGCTCGTCCAATCAGCAAGGAAGCGGCGCGAGCATAATTCTATACGGTCTAAGCGGGGTGAAACTAGAATACGCGCTTCGATTCGGGTTCGCAACATCCAACAATGAAGCAGAGTATGAGGCATTAGTAGCTGGGCTCACTTTAGTGAAGGAAGTAAAGGCTAAACACCTCATCATCTGCAGTAACTCCCAGCTCGTGGTCAACCAAGTCAGCGGCGAGTATGAAGCCCGCGACCCTACCATGGCCGCTTATTTAGCCAAGGTCAGAGAGGTTCTACATGGCTTCCTATCTTATTTCACCAGGTAGATCCCGAGATCTGAGAACGCTGAGGCCGACGCCTTGTCCCGGTTAGCCAGCACAAGCAGCAACACCATGCGAACCGTGTACATAGAGGACCTACCTCGGCCTAGCATTCTCGGGGGGGCAGGAGAGGTCGCTCCTATAGTACAAGCAGAACTGAGCTGGATTGACCCACTCGCGAACTATCTGCTTCACGGGACCCTCCCTGCAGATCGCAATGCGGCCCAAATGGTAGAGGGCCAGTCAGCTAAGTACGTCATTATAGACGGACAGCTGTACCGGAGATCTTTCACGCTCTTGCGCTGCTTGCGCTGCTTGCGACCCTCAGAAGTCGAGCTCGTTCTCCGCGACACCCATGAGGACTTGTGTGGCAGACACTTGGGGGCAGGGCTCTCGCTCAGAAGGTGTTACGACAAGGGTACTACTGGCCCACAATGAAGGCAGACGCACTCGAGCTCGTCAAGAAGTGCGACAAGTGTCAAAGGCACGCCAACATCCACCACCGACCTACTGCCGACCTCAAATACCTCACCAACCTGTGGCCCTTCGCATAGTGGGGAATCGACATTCTTGGCCCATTCCCGCCAGTGACAGGACAAAGGAAATTCCTGGTGGTAGCAGTGGGTTATTTTGCGAAGTGGGTGGAAGCGGAACCCCTAACAACGATCACAGCCCGCAACATACAAAATTTCTTTTGTAGGAATATAGTATGTAGCTTCAATCTACCTCGGGTACTCATCTCCGACAATGGAAAGCAGTTCGAGGACATCAAGTTCCAGAATTGGTGTGCCGAGATGGGAATACAACAAAACTTCACCTCAGTAGCAAACCCCCAGGCAAACGGGCAAGCAGAAGTCACTAACAGAGCCATACTCCATGGACTGAAGGATCGCTTAGCCCGAGCCAAAGGACTGTGGGTAGACGAACTGCCCAGTGTGTTATGGGCCTACCGGACTACCGTCAAGACCGCCACGGGTGAGACTCCTTTCAACCTCACTTACGGCACGGAAGCGGTGATCCCAACAGAGATCGAGGTGCCAACACTACGTTTAGAGGCTTACGACGAGGAGACAAACGACGACGAGCTCCGTACCAACCTCGACTTGCTGGAAGAAGTACGGGACCTGGCATACATTTGGACTGCAGCCTACCAGCAGAGAGTGGCTCGGTACTATAACGCCCAGGTCAAGAAATGACACTTCTGTGTCAACGACCTAGTTCTTCGAAAGGTTATGGTACCTGAACCCGGTGTCGGTAAGCTCGGACCGAACTGGGAAGGTTCGTACCGAGTAAGACGGGTAGTCGGGGAAGGTGTGTACGAGCTTGAGACCTTGGGAGGAAAACAAATACCTCGAGCGTGGAACATCGGAAACCTGAGAAGGTATTACCTGTGATCGCCGAACTGGAGAGAGGAATGCGAGTCACTCCCAAAAGCCTAAGGGTCGTGATGCCGAGCTGACAAAAGACCTCGGCACAATACAAGACGCAATCGCCTCTTCGACATGAGTAGATAAGTCCTAGTCGCCTCTTCGGCATAGTCGTGCTAAGTTCCAGTTGCCTCTTCGGCATGGGCAGATAAGTCATAGTCACCTCTTCGGCATAGACATGCTAAGACTTATTCGCCTCTTCAGCATAGATGTGCTAAGACCTAGTCGCCTCTTCGGCATTGGCAAAATCAAGGATAAGGAGAGTGGACCGCGAGTCGCTCCCAGAACCTAAGGGCTAAGGTGCCAAGCTGATAAAAGACATCGACTCCACATAAGACCTAGTCGTCTCTTTTGCATGGGAAAAATAAAAAGCAGTTCGCATTCAGCATGAGAAAAAGAAAAAATGAAAGACTAGATCGCTTTCAGCACCATGACAGACACAAACTTAGTCAATCTCTTCACAATAGACCTCCACCCAGTTTCAGGCTCCGCATCGAACTCGCTGGCTACTCTTTTGAGAACCAGCTTAAGGACGTTGCGTCAAATTCTACCTAGGTGGAATGACCTGATAAAGCACTCACACAGAAACCCCTCTTGACGATGGCATGATAAACTTCGCTCTTGGGGTAATGGTCAGATTGCAGAACCCCTTGACGGTTCCATCCCTAATAAGGTAGATGTCCTCGGGGTACCTGCTCCACCTCTCCTCGAGCGGATGAATTCGCTCTCGTGCCTCGATAATCAAGACGGCGACGTCATGCGTAAGGCTACAAACACTTGGACTCTTCCGACCTGAGAAGCAAATTGGACCAATGCTTACGATTACAAGTTTATCGAATCAGTCACTCCGGGCCAAAAGGAGCGATCTACTCCCTTCGCTGAGCTACTTTCATCTCAGGAGTGGGGGGCAATTGATGAGGGCGGACTTGGCCCTCCAATGACATTGTGACACATGGCATCTCGAAATAGCTGGACGACACCCAAACACCACCTAGGCGATGATTTGGAGTCCTATATCGTAGTTCGTCTTCGCCCCGACCTAGCGACCTGCCTTTACCGCCAACCTAGCGACTTCAACCACAACTTAGGCCAACTAAGAGCACCTCGTCTAGGGCCGACTTGTAGCACCTCGTCACTGGCCGGTGTGACCTCGACGCGAGGAGCGACCTCCCTCGAGGGCTTGCCGACCTGACTGAGGTCTAAGAGGCAACCTACGAGTTGTGCTCGCTGACAAATTTGGTATGCATATCCCGACACTCCCAAGTTTCTTGGATGTTGGCCCACGTACCGAGTGTTCTGGATGATGGCCAACGTGCGTGGCGGTTACCACTAGGGATCTCAGATCGGTTAAGCAACCTCCTGGAAATCTCAGATGCGATGCATGAAACCCAGGCCAAACAAAACCTATATAAAGGCACCAACCCCAGTGACACAAAAATGTACACATGATTTATCTACTCTCCAACTCTTAATATTCTCAACAATTTCAACTCGCAACAAACTTGCTAACTTAAGCATCGGAGCGACCTCGCCGGGCTAGTCACCCCGAGTTCTCTGATCCTACTTTTGCAGATCCACCTAGCTCGTCGTCCGACTGGAAGCCAGATCATCCTCCAGCAGGGAACAGTCAGATCGCGCAACATCATAGGGAGACACCGACAACAATAATTACAATTAATTATTATATATTCATTGTGCACATGTTTGAGACTTTGGAACACCCAGTAAAACCCACCTAAACAAATGGACCATTCTGGACTGATCCAATTCAATGTTTGGACCATCCATTCAATTCAATTTGGTTTAAATTTAGAATGGGTCATACCCTAGCCGGGTCAATAACACAAGTTCTCTTTTATCTTCTGTCAATGAGTCGGATATTGGATGATCCAGGTGTAAGCCTGAACTGGTCCAATTTTATATCTTATTGGTTCGTGGTAGGTGATGGGGGATGGAGTACCCCACCCCCAAAAACAAATAATAAAATAAAATAAGAAAGACAGACAGACCATCCCGGTTCACGACAAGGTTGGTATGAATTGTGGTCCTGTATGATGCTTACGTAGCGATGCATGTGTAAACGATTTACTTTCATGCTGTACCATGAGTGGCAACTTGTAGATCCTAACTCGAAGAAAATACAAAATCTGTTCGTTTTTCTTTTTTTATTTTTTCAACACATTGATTCTTATTACAGTATAAACCCTAAAAATTACCTGAAGAGGAATGAGGAATCATCCACCCTATTACTTGCAAACACCTCCAATGAGACAATGACTGAAGTATCTCTGAACTGGTGGTATCCATGCCCGAAGCATAATCATAGAGCAAACTCATCACAGCTAATCACTAGGACAATGCCATAAATTCATGACTCTATTGACCTTCCACTGCATTGCCATGTGATCCCATAGCCAGCAGGATCAGACGTTGACCATGTAACAGTAGAAAATAAGCCCCAACTTACGAAACCTTTCTTAGTTCTGGCTATCATTGTTACATAATGCAGGTAAATGCCTGCGCTTATTGCAAAGAAAAATCTAGAGAGACCAGATCAACTAACAACAGCGGTAACAAACTAACAATGTGGCTGACCCCTCTGTCTCTTCCTCGTTTTCAGCAAACTAATAAAGAATCAAGAAGCACTTCTGTGAAACTGCCTAATAATCTCTGACAAAATAAACTTACACAGCGGTGAGATCTGAGAAGAGCTTGACCATCTTATATTCCCTTCGCCCAAAGCAGTGTCTTTCGTCCCACCCCAAAAATATTGCCAACACAACCCAAACATTATCTACAGATTGCAGAACCTCACCAAACTAAAGTCTCGTTTCTTCTCAGAAAAAAAAACAACCATCATGGCTCATGTAATGCGAACGAGACGTCACCAAATTAAGCTCCAGTGTTCTCCATTGACCCCCAAGGGCCGGATGCTTACATACCTGCTAATTACAGTCTAGTCCGCATTCCTCTAGTACAGGGCCATCCGACTTGGCCAAGAATGGATCAATCCGGACCCACAAAAGGGAGAAGATRGAAGCAAGCAGAATGGACCAGACAATAATAATAGTGGGTGTCCTGTTCTGTCGGCCCAATAAACCTTTGAGGAATGGATAGAGGTGGACAATCACCCAAAAAGAGAAAAAGAGCTTACCAAACAAAGGACCCCATGACTCGTACCCATTGTTTATTGCATTTGAGATACCAGCAACAACCCCAATGAGGTTTATTATTAAAAGTGTTGTTGGAGGGATAAGCAATGTGGTCCACTTGAATGCATATAGCTCTGAAAACTCCTCATCATCCCCAGCCTTTGATGTCACAGTGAAGTTGGTATCTATACCAGCCAATACTTTCAAGAGTCCCTGGAAGACTGCAAAAAGATGTGCAGAAACACCTCCAATGACCCAAAACTGTTCATTCCTCCACCAGTCATCAAGACCAATACCACTCCATCTCATTTCCAGGATACTTGTAGCAAAAATACATATGAAAAGTGATATGAACCATAAACTTGCAATGTTGCTAAGCTGCAGCAGAAACAGGATAGAAACATTTAAAAAACAGTGGATTGTACAATTAAAGCAATGTGTTCTGTCACTAATATAATGACAAGTTTCATACCTCCGGTGTGATAAATTTTCCTGTGAGCAAGCACACAGCAGGTAAGGTACAATATGCCAACAGTGGAATTGATGTCAACGGATATACAGTAGCACCTATGTAAGACCAACGTTCCAACCATTTCAAACCACCTCCATATCCATACCATATAGGGCAGTGCCTGCTCAAGAAAATCTCTACAGAACCAAGAGCCCATCGAAGGACCTGGTTAAGACGATCAGAGAGATTGATGGGTGCTGATCCTTTAAATGCTGGCCTAGGTGGGATACAATATATTGATCGCCATCCATGGCAGTGCATCTTAAAACCAGTAAGGATATCTTCTGTAACAGAACCATAGATCCAACCAACCTGACAAGAATATATGCTTAGTAGAAAGTAAATGTGAAGTCTGAAAACAGACAACCAACTCTATATACATGACTAGAGAAGTAGCCGACTAGTGATATTACCTCTTTTCCCCAATCTGTCTTATCTTCATAGCCACAGCTGATGACATGAATGGCTTCTTTCAGCAGAGATGCAGGGCTTGCACTTTTCAGTGTCCCACCATTCTCAAGAAGGGTGGATGCAGCAAACACAGGAGACTGGCCAAACCTCTTTTCTAACTTATCCTCAGATATCACAGTTGATTTTGCACTCTCAATCCCTGCATAAGAAGTCAAACCACGTTAAGAAACAAAACCAAAAGCAAATAACAAAATATGGAACCAATAGCTGGGGAAATGATATCGTAGAGAACCATAACTGGCAGGATAGGAAAGATGAATGTGATTTTATAAATAAAGACCGCATGCAGCTGCTGAAATGGATTCAATGATTCATATAACTTTACAATTTCAGACTGCAAATGTATGCATCTCCCAAATCAACTTCAAAACCTGGATGATGACTGTCAACAGTCCAGTTCTTTGGCATGTAAATAGAAAGTACCCAAGACAATCAAATAATGGACCATTTTGATGAGACAACCAAACTGATCACCAGTATTTAAAAAGAGGGGGGAAAAGGCCATTACCCAATGTGGGCCCCAGCTATCTTGGGGTCTTAGGAGGGGTAGACAGGGTACAGTCCTATTTTTCACACAAATTGACCACACTCAGACTCAAACCCACATTCTCATGCTTGCCAACCTCAGATTTTACCATTACATCAAGTAATGTCCCCTCAAACAGATCAATGGTAGAGGTGACAATTTGCAACAGGATTTGACACAAAAAAACAGCCAAAGTGAGCTGTGAAAATCTTCAAAAACTTCAGAAATGACTTGCAAGCCAACACTTATTTTGCGAAGTCATTTTTAAGGGCATCAATTTGGCTGACTTTTGCCAAGTTGGATTTGGCTTAACCCTTAATGAAGCAGGAACTGAACATGTGAAATCACAAGATCAGCATGTCTCTATTACTTCAAATAGCCTAAAATGCATGGTATATTTAATTGTTTGCGTAGAATTTTGAAGAAGGGGTAAACAAGTGAAAGAGAACCTAAATGCAAACTTTTAATCATCACTAAAAAATAATATCAGTGATACCAATGACATCAAACAGGAAAAAGAATTTTACCTTCAGTACCCTTCTCGATACTTTCCAAAGCATATGCAGGTGGTAAATTTCTGGAACCCCTTTTCTTCTTCTCAGACTTAGGCTTAGTAGTCTTCTTCTTCCTCCTCCCAGAACAACAGCATCCGCAACAGCACCACTTTGGCCAACAATTGCATGTCCTTGTTGGTGGCTTCTTTGTCTTTGGAGCATCATAACCATAGAGTGCCTGCCTTCTAAATACACATCCTGTCCCCACATAAATAGGTCCTTGAATCCCATCTAGACCTTTCATGTTAATCTGGTACAGGAGACCTGTCCGTTAGTTCTTTCTAGAAACAACTAACTTATCTGAGAATACAAACAGCTGATTACAAAAGTAGTGTATAAAACATTAAAAGAAAACAGGATTGCATGCTTACATCAAAGAATACAACATTCCGATTAGCATATCGGTCATGCCTATCAATACCATCAAACCTTTGTGGGAATTGAACATAACAAACTTTSTTTCCCATCAAAGGGTCCATCATGAAACACATTGCCTCCCTGAGAGCCTTACTGTTATTGATGTAGTGATCACAATCCAAGTTCAATAGATATGGTGCATTTGTCAGCACAGCAGAGACTCTGACCTATTTTATTGGGGGAAAATAGAAAACAAGGAATTAGAAAACTTTTATCAACACCAGAATTCATTAAGACCAATTGTTGATGGGTGGTTACTCACCAAAGCATTCATGGCACCAGCCTTTTTATGGTGATTAAATCCAGGCCTCTTTTCCCTAGAGACATAAACCAGGCGAGGGAGTTCATTTCCTTCAGTGTCATGCCCCCCACTTTGACCCAGAAATACCTGGATTAGATTTTTTTTCTTTGCTTAGTAACCAAAGGAACTTTATTGATAAAAAGCAATGTGCAAGATGGAAACACTTGGAGTGGATCCTAAAAGTAACATTAGAACAACATCAATCCTGCATAAGGAAATTAGCCAAAAAAAAACTCAATATGTATACCTGAATCATGCCTGGGTGATCTCGGACATTATTACCAGGCCATGGAGTCCCATCCTGCATTGTCCACCCTTCTTCAGGGACTTTTTGTGCCTTAGCAACCAAAGCATTGATCCGAACCTTGAACTCCTCATATTCTCTCTACAAGCCAAAACATTGTTAGTGGTGAACTTAGAGTAATTATATTTAACAAAGATATTGTTACCTTCATCGCCCTCCGCTCCTTCACAAATGAAGGCAGGACCTTATCCTTGAGATAATCAATCTTCTGAGCAAAATACCATTCAGGTGCTCGTGGCTCAATATTGAACTTCTTGCAAAAAGGGACCCACTTCCGTGCAAACTCAGATGTTTCAGACAATGCTTCAAATGTTAACATAGCAGCACCATCATCTGAAACATAGCAGGAAACCTTTTCGACAGGGTAGTCCACAGCAAGAATGGACAAAACAGTATTTGCAGTGACAAGAGGAGGCTCCTTTAATGGATCTACCGTACTCACAAATATATCAACAGAAGAGAGTTGAGACGGATGGCCTTCTTTCTCATACCTGAGAAGGAAGGAGGAAAAAACTCAGGCACTAGTAACAAACTCTGATTCCACATTTGGGTGTATGTGTACAAAACCAAGAACACTGAATTTAGCCAATCACTAACCTCAACGATAACCTATCTAGATAAGTTTCTCGGTCAATTGGGAGCCACTTCGGAAACTGATCAAGGATCCATGAAACTGCAAACCATATCTCACATATCACAGATATGAGCCATAATGCATATGCATCAGGTGCTGGATGCGTTATTCGGTAATGAAAGAAGAACCCAACAATTACAAGCCGTATTATGATGATCATGCGATAAGGGTTGATTTGGCTTGATGGAATTGGCAATTTCCTTGATAGTGGTTGTCTAGCCTCATCCATTCTGATAAAAGACAAAGTAAGGCACCAAAGTTTAGAATTAAAAACTGTACTTGCTTGAAGAAGTGCATGGTCATTACCATTATTTGTTAATCAAATCAGAAAGTGAGTAAATACTAGAAAATAAAGTATTAAAAATTATAATATTTCAAAGCATCACTAAAATTTTGAAAAATCAACTTTTTAAAGATTATATAGAGTTTGAAAGGATTCCAGCTATGGAACCCAGTTATCATAACTAGGTCAAAGCCCAATCCTCCTAATCAATTAAATGATTAAATAATCAAGAGAAAAAAAAAATTTGTAATGATAATTACCACAAAATAATCCATAGAGTGACTATATCCTGCAGAATTTTATGGACTTACTGGACTGAATTTATGTTAAGTCCCCAATTATGCAAATGGACCATCCACTTCACCATTGGGACCAATACATTAACACTATCAGATGCCAGAAGTGTTTATTGAGCACTTACAGCGGTAGATCTGGCCCATCACCATCATTATCCCAATCTTTGCTACCATTTTCATTCTTCACCACTTGTAACTTCTCTTGCTTTTGCTTCCAATTCTCCATCCTCTCTTTCCAAGCCACACTTCCATAACCATATGCAGCCAAGTCCTTCGATGGATCCATGGATCTAGGTTGAACTATAAATGAAAGAAAAGGAAAACACACCAGGCGAGCAAATAAGATTAAGCTAAAAATAGATAGAATTACAGCAACAATACACAGAATAACTATCCAGCTGCCATCACTGCAACATGAAGCAAGGCAACAAAAGCAAATAAAAGAAAAGTTCTTTAGGACACAGGTCAAAGCACCTGGAAGGCTAGGATCTGCGAATGGAAGGGGGTGGATCCTTTTCCCTCCGCCACCCATGAAAGAAGGGACCAAAGCGTGCTGTTCAGGAGGTATATCATCAACCTACAATCACCCATGTCAATAATTCTATAAGAAATCTTTTTAGAACCGTGAAGAACCCATCGATAAAAAATATATTAGATCCATCATCCATGAAGACCGTCTAAGAAATTCAATCAGCTGAGAAGAGATAGCTTCTGCATGTGTATGCATTAACGCTAAAAGAGATGGGGAAGAGAATAGGGGGTAATCATAGCTACAAATCCAAGACAAACTGGTATAGAAAAACAATCTCCTAAAGGAATTGAAGCCCCAAAAAAGACGGATTTGCACAGGTGATTTACCATTTGACCGTTGGTAAGCAGAGGAACTTGTGGTATTGTATGAGCTACTTGAGGCATATCTGCATCTCCGGCTCGGCCATAGCTCATGTGCCCCTGAAGCATGGCCTCTGCAAGATACTGCATATCCTGTTTGTCCCTTCCGGTAAAACTAAATTCATTCTCAAGGTCGTCGATATCATCTTCTTCTTCATCACCCGCAACTCTAGCACATCCTGCAAATTCCAAGCTCTTTAAACAAGCAAACAATTACAAGAAAAGGGGAAAATGTTGTAGAATGAAATGGCTGAAAGATCTTGGTAAGACGAAGTAGCTCACCCTTCAGACGTTTGAACCTAGTTTTGCACTGTGGGCAGACCTGGCTTCCTTCTCTACGCTCGTACTCGTAACAAGTCCTGCAAATTGGGAAAGCACATTCGTTGCAGGCAACAAAGAGCTCTCCATCGACAGTAAGTCCCACATCATCCCCACAAATCTGGCAGATTTGCCCACTGATTGGCTGCAACGGCTTGGGCTGCAACAACAAATAAACACCAACAAAATAAAACCTCTCCATTCTTCAAAAACCAAGCAAAGAATCCGCGATGCCGGATTCTTCAAGACCAACAAAAAAGAATTCATCATTTTCAATCTTCAAGATCAAATCCTTGAACTTACGCCAGATTCTCCCTCTCGACGGATGACGACCAGTTCATTCCTGTTGTGAGAACCTGCAACTAAACCGGCACTGGCCTCCATTGTTCAAAACAAAGAGACCACACCCACAGTCCCAATTTTGCTCCAGATCTGCCCTTCTCCTCCCAAACTCAGATCAAAAATCCGATCTTTTGTTCTATTTATTGTGAGCAGAAGACGATAAAACTCAGTCGTCGGGCGATCAAAAGGAAGCCGTCGTCACTGTAGATGAAGCTCCCCGGTTTGAGCTGTAATGCCTGTGGAGTGAAAACTTTGGGCCTTCTTTGCGAATCCACCGAAAGTATTGCATCCCTTATTATTCTTTCTTGTTCCTTCGAACAATCCCTCTCTTTACAATTATCGAGCATTCTTCGGTAAATATGATAAAAATAAATAAATAAATAAATAAATACCTAATACACCACCGACACTATTTTAACCAACCTCTCTCCTATAATTTTTTAGCCACTCGTTTATCCCTTTTAACACCCCCGCCGACACAGCTACCACGTCAGAAAAAAAAAAAAAAAAAAAAAAAAACCTTCTCTCGAAAGTCGTAAGGTCATCAAGATTCAGTTTCTACCGGAAAGAACAGCATTCGGAAGAGAGGTTAATAAGAATCGGTAAATCGAAATTGGGTGGTATCTATAAATCATATCAATAGAGACAAATGAATGAGATTGCTCATAACCTGGCCTAATATAACTAGGTGGTATGTATAGAGAGCAACCAGACATCGTTTTGTCAATAATGATTACTTAATTCAATGTCTGCTTTCTGAGTTGGTTTAAAAAAAATGATAAATCAATTGGGTGGAAGAATTTTTTTCTCTTTTTTTGGAGGTCCTTCGGGGCAGATTCATTCAACGACTAATCTCGGTTACATCTCTTACAATGGTGTCAAAAAGAAAATCTGAAAAGTGAGACCATTTGTTACTCTATTACAAGTAATAGCGAATTTAGCGACAGAGGAACCAGCAATTATTTGCAATCAGCGAGCAAAATGCTGACAGAGCACGGTGGGTCCAAGTCCATCACCAAACAATTGACATATAAACAAGCAATATAGAGATAAATTAAGAACAACTATAATTACTATTTTATTATATTATAATTATAATTAAATCAAGCAGTTGCGGTGAATAAAATAAAATAAATTAAAAGCATGCAGGAAACAGCTATGCACATGTGGGATTGTGAGGTAACGTTTCAGCGGTCATATCGCGAACAGGGAGAGCCGTTCCTCTTGCCAGTTCCCACTGTTCCGTTTCTGCCCATGTTTGCTCTCGATCTCTCAGTCTTTGTCTTTCATCTCACGGGCCCATACAAGCTTTCTCTCTCTCTAGATATTCGTTTGGTGAGCATTATTAAATGGATCGTGTCATTTGGTTGCCATAAAAAACGATATTAATTTGTGAGGAGGGGTAATTTGGATAGACTTAATGACATAGATTTTGATTTAGCATTCGCTGCTACCACAGCAAACTAGGTTAGTCGGGTATATTTGGCATCTTGGCCAAGTCCGAGGTCTGAGTAACTTGTGATGGTTTGATCTATCAGCACGTAGTCAAGATCAAGCATCTCGGCTAAGACCGAGGTTCTAGAAGCTAGCCAGTTGTTTTCGATCTCTCCGAGATCATGCCGCACGTCCACAAGCCTTATCCTTATCCCATCTGGATTGAACAAATTTGATAAACCTTATCAACTCATACAAAGTCCATTTCTAAATACGGAACGGCCTCTTGGCAATACAGACTTAGGATATCAGAAGTATTTTGTAAGACCCATGGTAATTCGCCTATATAAAAACTCCAACTCTAACACCATAAAGTATATACAATTATTGCTCACTAACTCTCTTACTTACAAACTAAAAACAAGTAAGTTAAAAGCATATTTTTCTAGTTCAACCGACCAACTAAGGAGAGTAAGTCCCAACTATCATCCAGCTAAAAACAACCAAATCGTGCACCGTAAATTTGCGTTTTAGAATATCAGATTATTAAACCCATATGTTTCTCTAGTCTCCCTTAATTTTAGATTCTTAATGGAGCAAGGAATCTCACTCTCCTACTTTGTAAGGCGTGGTTAGTAATAGAGTATAATTGAAAAAAGTACAGCCGTAATAATAAAATAATATAATAGAATAGAATATAGAAAGAATAAGAAAAGGGAGTGACTCCTTTTCTAATGTTTGATATGATGAGGATGATCAAATGCACAGAGGGCAACAACACCTTATAATGCAAACAGGACCTTGACAATCCACGTTACAACTTACAAGCTGACAAGGTAAAACCCTCGTCTTTAAAGTAAGATTATTAAATAAATTACATCATGCAAAGAAAAAAAGGCGATACTAATCAGTTAATCAATCATTGTCACAATGCCCACTTTATTTTCCCTTGTCTTTTATGACTTGTATAATTATTGCAGTTTGTAAGTTTTAATCGTGTAGATTAACAAACAACCGGGGGATCATTGCCCCGATATTAGGTTTTGACCAAGTTTAATATATTATTTGCACACAATCAATAAAAAAAATTAACATTTGGTGGCGGGTGGTAGGTCAATGGTAACGGATAGATAGAACAGCTTCTTAAAGGCTTGTATACGCTTTACTTTGTGGTGTATTCATATCCATTTCTCATCTTTTGGATGGCAAGGGATAGGCTCGGGAGGGTTTTGTAAATTCTACATTATACCTGTCTCTCAACCCGTATTCATTTCAAAATTTGTAATTGATTGGATTTTAAAAAGTAAAATTCCTCAAGGTAAAACCTTCTCCGCATTCAAGGATAAGGTAGATTGGATTTAAAATTCACATTTAATTTCCTATTATTTCTTGTTATATATATAAATAATAAATAAGTAAAATATTATGAATAAATACTAAAGTTTTCAATTATTTGATTAAGACATATAAAAATATATATAAACTATAATATGAATAAACAGCATCTGCATCAGATTTGGCTTAATACCATACCTTATCTATACCCATACATGTTGTAAAATTCCAAAACTCGTTCCCGCCCCGAAATCTATCCTTTATGTACTCCGGTTTGCGCTTGTGAGCATTTGTTTGATATATAAAAAAGTAATGATTATTAGAGCAATAATTTATTTTCTGATACTTTTGTACTCTGAGAAGAGAGCATTACTGTACCTATTTTTTGAATACAATTTTGTGTTCTTTTCCGACCCTCGGATTTTGAATTCCATATGTGTTTTACCACCAGTTCTTTCCCGTTCCCCAGAATCACCTTATAAACGTTCCCTGAAACTCCCTACCCAATCAAATTCTCCTCTTTTAACGAATTCAATATATCCTTGATGTAAGGTGATTTGGCCCGACCTAGTCATAGGGGGACACGTGGATACGACCTAACTAGCAGGATGACAGCTCAGTCCGACGCACCAAGTCTGCAACGGATCGAGCTCAGATAACCAAACCACCTCGGGGCACGACCGCATCAGGACCACCTCGGTCCCAAGGCACTTCGGCATTCATACCAGGTCAAATCCAAAGGGCACTAGCTCAGGTAATATTGACCGACCACTACATGGCAACCCCGAAGATCTCGCCACCAAATTCTACGCCTTATGGGATCACGCCTCGTAACAACTAGCATTATCTCCCCCGTCAGATTCCGGCGGAAGTGATTAATCTCATCAGTTGGCAGCATTATCCCTAATTAACGCGGAAACGGACCACATCGTAACGAGGATCCCGGAACTGCTCCGCAAAACCCGCGAAGGCTCCACTATATAAAGGCTCCACCCGGGGGTGAAAGGTACACGTAATCTCTACTCTCTAGCCCTCTTGCATTCTAAGCTATTACCAGCTCACAACCAAGTACTAACTTAAGCACCGGAGCGACCTGGTCGGGAAAGCAACCCCGGGTTCTCTGATTCGCTTTTTGCATATCAACTGAGTCTGTCATCTACTGGAAGCCAGATCACCTCCAGCTGGGAGCAGCCGGATTGCGCTACATCATTTGGTGCCGTCTGTGGGATTCAGTACAAGAAGCCTTTTACCTCAAAAAGCATCCATGGCATCCTCCAGTAACACCGGACAAAATGTTGAAACGAACGTCTCCGGGGGGCAACCTCAGGTCCCAATCGTGTGTATCAAACAGTTCAATGTGCCTCTCTCTGCAGATGAGATTCCAACATTGAACATGCCTCGAGTCATAGCACTAGTGGATGCGCCACTCCCTCCTACGGTGGGTGCAACCTTTGCTGAACCCTCTGTAATCCCCCCTGCAATCGGGCAAAATCAGGTTGATGACCTGGTACACTGCATGCGGACTATTCAGGTCCAAATGCAACAGGTCCAATAATTCCAACAGTACCAGTAGCAGGTCCTGCATCACTTCTACCAGTAGCAATATCATCAACAGTTTCCTCCACTACCGTAGAATCAGCAACCAGTTCCACCTCGGAATCCGGCCCCACAGCAAAGCAGATCCCACCATCAGAACACTCGTCGTTCTCGCCGAGGACAGACTTCCCAGGTTCCACATCCCCTTGGGAGCCAAGTCTCGTCTCGCGGCAGGAGGGATAAACAGATTACTCCTCTTGCTTCGAAGAACATCAACAGATTGGGAGATACTCAGCCCACCAGGGCCGTTTCACCTAGGCCATCGCGTCAAGAAGGTCCGTTCGCGGGGAATCGGTTCGGAGTTCTGGCTACGGATTCCAGGCGAGGCCCCTCCGTCCACAGCAGCCAGCACCAGCAGTCTGAACTATCCCAAGTCCGGACCGTACCCGATCACACCGAAGTTAGCAGCACAAATGCTGAACCAGTCAAGAAGCAGTAGAAGCGGCGTCGTAAGGCACGCCAAGCTACAATTCCAAGCCAGTCCGAACAGCCTAAAGGTAAAGAGGAGGCGAGCTCGGGAACCACGAAGACCGCTCCCCACCTCTCTGTACCATCTCCTTTGTCCTCTGAGTTCCTAGCCACCCCAATGCCGAAGGACTTCAAAGTACCTCCGCTGGACAAGTACGGCAGGTCATTCGACCCGAATGATCATGTAGACTCCTTCCAGTCCTAGACGCACCTAGCTGGGGCTGATGAATCCTACATGTGCGTTACCTTTTCTACGACCTTCAAAGGAGTAGCTCGCACGTGGTACAGGAACCTCGCGCCCGGGAAGATCAAGAGTTGGGCGCAGTTCGTGCAAATGTTCACCTCGCACTTCATCACCAACAAGAAATGCCCGAGGTCAAAGGAAAGCCTCCTCAACATAGTCCAAAGGGAAGGGGAGTCGACTCAAAGCTACATAAAACGCTTCAACAACACTTGTATACAAATTCCTGATCTAGATCCCGCTGTAAGGCTCACGGCAGCGAAGAGAGGT